GAGCCAGGCATCGCTCCCTGCACATCCGAGAAGCACGTTTGCACCCGGAGTACTGTTTCTCTCCGCTTTAAATGGACCAAGTCATTAAAAGCCCACCCAAACCCCGTCCCAGCCAGGGCGCAGGAGGCAAGCTTTGTGTCCGTTCCACTCCCCCTCCATGGCCGCTGCTACCCTGGGACGATGTCCATGCAGGGACACCAGCACAGTGCTGTGCCACCCTCCCCAGGCTCGGTCTCTGTCCCACGCACCTCTGCCTTGCTGGAAAGCGCTGCATGGCCGCATTCATCCTCCGCTTGTCCTGTGTGCCCGAGGCTGGACCCAGGTGAGGCACCCAAAGGTGGTATCTGGAAAGAGGCAAAAGCTTTGAGCACAAATGCCCCTGAGCCCTCCCTGTACTCAACCAACCAGCCCCGGCAGCATCAGCACATGCAGACAAATCTCTGGATGCAGCCAGCAGCCCCCCTTGCCCAAGTGCCCGAGCCCACGCTGCCTCCGATCCGTGTGCCAAGCCACGGCATGGCTGCTGGAGTGAGGAACACCAAAGACCTTCAGTGCCCAGCCCTGGAGCCAGGGTTTGGAACTGGTGAGTTGCCCGCTGTGGCAGCCCCAGCCCACGGGACTGGGACCCTTGCAAGGAGCCATCGGCGAGGGGGAACAGCTCGGCCAGCACTGGGCTCAGCTGCCGGGGTGTCCTGGCAGGGCTGGAGGCAGCTGCCCGGGATGCTGATGCAGCAGATCAGGGCTAGCAGGAGGGGAAAGGAGAGGAACATCACAGTATGTCCAGTTCGTTAACGCTTGCAGGGCCTGCTCTGCCAGCTGCCTTCTCCATCGCAGGGTAATAACCCCTTGAAACCCTCCCGTGCCCCCACTGCAATCCCGGAGCTGGGGCTTCCCTGCCCTCTCAGCCTCACATCAGCTTTGAACGCAGAATGGCCTTCACCCCTGTGCAAAGACTTCCTTCCCCTGCCCTCTCCCAGCCCAAACGCTTCTCAGCTGAACCCTTCCCCGCTGCGCCGGGAGGGCAGCTGCGGAGGAGGATACGCGTAGGCAGGGAGCGGGGACATTGCGTCCGTTGGCCTTGCAGCGAAAATACCAGTGCCGGGCTGGAAGCAGCCTCCGGGCTGGCTTGAAAAATGGTTGGCAGGGACAAAACCTTCACCCTGAGCCTGGCTGTGCCCACAGCCCCTGCCAGCCGGGGCAGAGGGGAGAGCCATCCCTGCCTGAAGCATCCCGACAGCCCCAGGGAGCCTGCCCCAAATTTCAGGGCTCCTCAGTCCTGCTGTGGCCGGTGGGTGCTGCTGTGCCGGTTTTCCTCGCAGCCATGAGGTAAGAGCAGCTGAGGCGAGGGCTGCCGTGCCCCAGGCACAGGGTGCTCTGCAAGAGCAGGGCAGCGTCCTGCAGCTGAAAAATGGAGGGAGAAATTGTTGGGGCAACGCTGGGAGATTTGACAACCGAAGAGGACACTATGGCACCCCAGGCATTGCTCTCCTATACGAAACACAGCCCAGGGGCAATACAGGGAGACTGTTTCGAGTGGTGGGGAGCGAGGGAAGCATGGACCGGGGCCAGAAAACAGCAGGAGCTGCTGGAGAAGCAGGGACCTGTGCTCCAGCTGCCAGCCCACAAGCCAGCATCTCTCCACGGTTGCACGCTGAACAAGAAAGCCTCCACACAGGAAAAAAAAAGCGCTGCAAGGAGACCACACACGTCATTATCCAGGAGCATCTGGATAATGATGGACTTGACACAGGCTGCCCAGGCCAGCTGCTGCAGCAAACAAAGATTGCATTGCCACCGGCATCCAAGGGGACGTGTTCGGCGGCAGCTGCCTGGCCCCGAGGCCACGCAGGGTGGGGAATACTCCCTGCCTGCTCCTGCTTGCGGGCAGGATGGACCCAGCCCACTTCACAGCACATCCCGTGCCCGCTTATGTCTGAATCATACCTCTGCACAGTTTGCCAGGGCCTGCCACCGCAGGGTTAAAATCCAACAAGTCATTTACCTTAAATACCAATGCAGTAATACATCTGTCCTGGCTTTTGGCAGCTCTTGGCTTTAGAGCTGAAGCATTTGTTGGATCATCAGAAACATGTTTTTGCCCTTTAGCTTCCACAGCCAACAAGCGAGACGCCTGCGCATGAAGCTGACTCAGGAGCGAGGAGACAAGACCCCCAGGGACATTTTGGGCACAGGCAGCACCAACTACAGATGGCCCCAAGTTACGCAGGGGAAGACGGCTCAGACACGGGAGCTTGGTGTTGTCCCCCCCAAATCCTCCCTCGTGGCTCTGCTGCCACGCAAGCCCTCTCCCAGCCCTACGGGAGATGGAGGCCGGGCTCCCCATCACAGCATCACCTGGTTTGCAGCTCATTTTTGGCTGTTTCCTCCCCACTTCCTCCGTCCTTGGCACAAACCCCTCTGAGCAATGGGTTTCCCTTCTCAGAAGGGACACGAGGAGCCCATGGGGCTGGTGTGTTCCTCTCTCTGTCCTCAGTCATAGCGACGGCCCCAGTGTCTATGGGCAGGATGGGGACAAACGAGTGCCCCACTCCAGCCCCACGAAAAGGGAAGATCCCAGGCTGCAAAGCAGGGGGAGAAAATTGTCTTGGATTAAACTCCCAGGCCCTGCGTGTTGCCATTTATGGCTGCACTTTCTGCTCCAAGCCTGATGCAAGACGTTGCAAGAGGGAAAGAAAGCAGACAGGAGACAGCGAGCCAGAAAGAGAAGAGCCAGGAGGAAAAGGGGAAGGAAGAAGCCTTTAAAAAAAGAATAAACAATAACGTTGGGCAGAGTTTAGCAAAGCAAAGCAGCTGCTATGTCGGCAGCTCCCTTTTACCCCACCACTGGGGCTCTCCATTCTCCCACCAGCCAGAGAAAGAGCTGCTACAGAACGAGAGCAGTTTTCCTGCTCCGGGCAGTGGTCCTGCCAGCCCCGGGGTGCCTGGCGGGGATGTGCCTCGTGCAGAGGCAGTGCTTCACAGGTTTGTCCCCCCCAGAGCGCAGGGAGCATCTGCTCCCACCAGTCCCCCAGTCACCACTGCGGGCAAGGATGAGGCATGGAGCGGCCAGAGCCCCACTGAAGCTCCGGGGCCATCCAGTCCCTGGCGAGGGGTCAGGCAGCACCAGGTCTGATTAGGAGAACACCGGCATGTCCCACGGCAGGGTGAGGAGTCCCGGCTCAGCAGCACCCGTCCCCACAGGCAGCGTCATGCTCCAGTGCAGCACCCCCAGCAGTGCACCCAGCCGGCTCATCTGGTGCTCTTCCCTTTTTGCTCCGGCCTCTGGCAAGCAAATGCCACAGGCACCAACACTGGGACATCTCTTGTTGCCACGGATGGGCCAGACGGCATCCTTGGGCAGGGGCAGGCAAAGCCTGCCCTCTCCTCGAAGCCTTACCCGGCAGCCATTCACATGGGTGGGCACTTCAGAAGGCAAAGAGTCCTCGTGGCCTCTGCTCCAGCAGTGCGCCGGCTCTAGGCAGGCTCCCGGGGCCGTACCCAGCCCAAGAAGGGACTGAGCGGCAGCCCAACCTCCCCAACCCACCGCAGGGGACGCAACATAAAGCCCAATGCAACCGTGCCCCACGCTGCGTCCCAGCACCAGCCCTGTGCTCCAGCCCCGTGACTGGGATGGAGGGGAGGGCACGACATGCGCACAGGCTCCCCGGGGTGCGTGACACGCATCCTGCCTTGCTTCCCAATTTGCAGACACTGCAAGAGATGATGCATTCGTTATTGGCACAGACTGCACCGGCTGAGAGCCACGGCACGTCTGAGCAGTTACAGGTCCGACAGGAGAGCCCCGCATCCCGCTGGCAGGGGCCTGTGCTGCTGCTGAGGCTGTGACG